TCCTATCCCAGTTGACCACACCAAGACCATCTTCCTCACAGCCTCTCCAAAATTCAACATTGCCATCTCTTCTGAACTTAGGAGAGAGGAAAGACTGGAAAAGAAAAGGGAAGAACAGGCTGCCAAGGCCAAACCTGCCATGAAAGTTACCAAAAAGCCCAAACAACCTGAGCAGTCACAAGTTGTAAGGGAGGTTAGACAGAAGAAGAAAAGTGACAATCTGTCACTACCAGAGAAGGAAACAGCAGAAGAGGCTGCACCAGAGATGCCCTCACCAAAGGCAACCAAGAAATCTGCTGCCAGAAAACTGAAGCAGAAGAGGAGAAGAAAGATGGTTGTGCTAAGTGGTGATTCTGACAACTCTAGCACTAAACCAAGGCAGAAGAAGAGGAAGACTAAAGTAGTCTCACCTGCCAAAGATTCAGCAGTTCAGGGGGAACCTGCACCAGAATCTGGCACTCTACCAGAAACTCACCAAGATTCTGCACCAGAGTTGCCCAACTCTGCTCTCTCACCAGAGCGTGAAGTCTCACCAGAAATGGACCAAGAAACAGACTTCAACATCATTCTGCAAAAGCAGTTTGACAGAGTTCTAGCTTGGAGAAGATGGAGAATGGGTCCTCTTCAACAAATCATCCAATTCTTTGATGCCTATGAAGAAGAAGAAGTTGTTGTTCTTCACTAGGTAGGCACAGATGATGTGTCAAAATGCTTCAACCTTACCTTTCTGATTTCTGTGCTACAAAAGAAGAAAGACAGATATCAAGGTAAAGCTCCAACATCTGACCTATCTCCAGAAAGGCATGTCAGAGCCTTGGAAGAAGAAGAAATGGAGACTTTTGATGCTTGGCTGATGGAGAAGAAAAGGAAAGAATCAATGATCAAATTTCGTCATAGTGCTCTTGAGGAAGGAGAGCCATCCACTGCGAATGACATTGCTATTACCATGGAGAAGCTGGTCAAGGAGTGGAGAGAATCTGTGTACTCTGAGATTGTACTTGAGGTAATTCCTACACCTCCTCCTTCCCCTCCCCAATCTCCTATTATTCTACCCTCACCCTCCAAATCTCCATCTGAACCTTCATCCCCACTTCACCAGAAAACCCCTTCACCCCAACAGAAAACCCCCTCACCAGAACAGAAAAACTCACCTTCCACCAGAACACCATCTCACCAGAAACCCAACTCCAGATCGTCCTCACCCAAACAAAAAATTGCATCTCCCTGCAGAGCAATTGTCCCTTTCAGAAACCGGTCACCCTCACCTCCACCATCCCCCCCTCATCAGAATGCCTCACTTACTCACTCTCCACCACAGCACCAGAACCCTTCACCACCATCCAAGTCTGCCTCACCTCAGAGATCCTCACATCACTCTGCAGCATCTACACCAAAGAAGAAGCCTATCTTCAGGGTTCCCTCCTCATCTAGTGACAATGATGGATTCCTCACCTCCTCCATTGCTGCTGATGAAACCTCCAAAAGGAGAAGGACACCCCCCAAGAGTTCCTTCCCCTCCACCATCCAGCAGAGCTCCTCCATTACCAAAAGGCAGAGGATTGGAAACGCCTGATTTTACACCTGAAGAATCCAAAATCCCCTTCACCCAATTTGTGAAGTCTGCTGAAGCTTTTGGTGGAATACTGGTTCAAGATCTGAGCAAGATTATTGAATTAAATGACAAACAACATGAAGAACTCACCCATACCAATCTGCAAATCACCATAGGTTTTCAACACCTGTCAGATAAAGTTGCTGCTCTCACAGAGAATCTGCACAACTTCATGCATTCCTCTACCTCGAGGATTGATTCTGTCTCCAGAGATGTTAGTGGACTCAACTCTGTTCTCCACTCTCACTCTCAAGCTCTGCTTGCCCAGAATCAGACAATCAACAGGATCTCAGAATCTGTTCACAATCTTCAGAAATCTGCTGATAGTTCCTCCCAGAAACTCAACATCTTACATTCTCTCTGTAAGGAACATCAAGAGCAAGGCCTAGCTCTTCTCAAATCTGACATAGAAAGGTACCAGAAGATGGTGCTTCTAGAAGTCAGCACCAAGGATCTCCAATCTGCAGTAGACAAGCAACAAAGCCTGATTGAAGGTCTTGCCTCTGTCACTCAGACACTGCCAGAAACCCTTGATGAAATCAGAGATGCTCAAGCCTCTGAGTTTTCCAAGATTGAACTTCTCCTTGGTGATCTTTGTGATGCCAAAAAGGGGGAAGATACCAGAGAAGGAGAAGGCACCAGCACCAGAGCTCTTTCTATCAGAGAACCCTCATCTGTGGATCCTACTCCTTACTTTGATGCTACCAGAAAGAAAAGGCTAGCTGCTACAGGCACCAGACCTCCTCCTCCTCCTCCCAGAAGCTCAAAGAAAAAGCCTTCATCCTTTTCATTCACTGATTGGATGAAGAGTGGTCTGTCAAGGCCAGACAGAGTTCAGTTTGAACAAATGAGAAAATTGATGACCCCTCTTCAAAGAGAGAATCTGTTCATGGACAATGATGGACTTGTCCAGATCAACCATGGTGGTTCGGTAGAAGAAGCTGAGATGTGGTACGGAATGAAAATTCTGAATGGCAAGAATTCTGCTGAAGCTGTCAGAAACTATCTGGATTGCAAACTTGCACCTCATTGGGCTGACTATCAGAATCCTAGGGATTTAGCCTCAATCAGAGCGAAGGTGAATGCTGAACTTGAAAGGATTGACAGCGCAGGACCACAGGTAGATGAAGAAGATCTCTAACTCTCTTTATCTAACTCTGTAATGCTTTACTTTCTCTAACAGTTTAATAAGATACCTTCTCTGCCTCTCTGTTTGATTGGCTCTTTTCAAATATCTGTTCTTATTTACTTTCTTGTGTATATTCTGTTATCATACTTGATTATTGCTATCTGAATGTATCGCACTCTTACTATTCTCCTATGCTAAGTTGCCCACCAAGATTCTAATAAAAAGTTTCTTAACTTTATATTTTTTATGGTGAAAGGCACTTCTCTGGAAATAGTTAAAGGGTTTTGGCATCATCAAAAAGGGGGAAATTGTAAGGAATAAATGTATTTAGATTTTGATGATGCTAGGTTAATTAGAATTTGAAAGTACCCCATTAGAAATTATGTATTAGAATTTCTTTTGTAAGTTTTAGCTTAGTCTGCCTGCCAGAGTTCCATCTTGCCTCTACCAGAGTTGCTCCCAGAGTTGCTCACCAGAGATGCCATCAGAAACTGGTTATCAGAAAGATACCAGAGTTGGCACCAGAGACGGACTTCAGAGACTGGACCAGAGAACCTCTTGAGACTCTGCTAAGTATCATCAGAATCCGGAAGCCCTTCCAACGGTCGTTAAACTAACGGGAAATCCCCTAACGGTTACGAACCTTTCAACGGAAGCATGGCACTGTACACGCATTAAATGCACATTTAATGCTATACGTACGAAGAGATATTTAAAGCTGATGATTGACCATGCGAATATCTTTACGCCCCCAAAATAGCAAGTCGGAGGACCAAACGGTCAAGTCAACAGTACATGCATTTAATGAAGCTGTCTTCTACACTCCAACGGGAAGACCGCTCCCAGTATATAAGATACACTCTGAAGAACTAAGAAAAAACTTTGCCATAACCTTTGCCAAGATAGATTTGCGTGAACAACTTTCTTGAGATCAAAACTCCATTTCTAACAAGAAAAGGCCACAGTTGGAAGATAAACATTCCTATCCTTCATCCAACTAGCAAAGGCAAAGTTACTCAGTTCTTCAACACTTCGAGAGCTTCATATACTCATCTTTTGTGAAGAAGCAACGTTGGAGAAAACTGATTCTATATCAAACACTTCTTGAAAAAGAAGGGACGTCTCAAATTAGCTGGAGTAAGTGAAGTGGAGATACTTCAAGAGACTCAGTGAAACGAGACCAGCCATCAGGAAGCAGGACTGCATCCCGGGTAACTAGACTTGAAGAAGACGAGGAGTGCTTCTTAAGTTCTAGGGACTAAGGCGTTGTAAACTGTCGTTTTTGCAAGCTTAGTGGAACAGTGGACTAGAGGAACGAGTTGTTCCTTGAACCACTATAAAAACCCCGGTGTCATTTTCTTTCAGCTTTTACTTTCTGCACTTAAGATTCTACTGACTAACTCTTTAGGTTGGAATATGTGTCCAGCAGATCTTCCTTCAGAGTTATCAGAAAGGCATTTTGCCTTAGCTTTCTTCTAGAGGCTACCCGGACAGAAACTTATCCGCTGCCTGGTCTAGTTCTGCCATCAGAACTTGACCATCTCTGTCACCAGATTTCGACCATCTCTGTTAAGTCAGACTTGACTTGGAGAAAAGTTTAAATTCCTGAACAGTCTATTCACCCCCCCCCCCTCTAGACTGTTCCCATTACAAACGGGATCAACAGTGATCCTACGCTTTCTGGGCGCATCCCCTGTTGTAGTAATCTTTTTTCCCTTTGACAAGAGTCCCTCCACCAAATAGCTTTCTTGTTCCCCTGACTCTTGATCAGACTCTACTATTTTCCCCTGCCTGTCGCCCGGTTTGTTGTTGCTAGGAATAAGCCATCTATTTCCCGGGTGCACTCCTCCCCACCTCATATCGGCCCGTAGCCATGGCCCATAAGGTTTCTCCCTGATCCCCAAACCGCTATGCAGATTAGAGGGACAGAACCGATCAGCGTGGCCAAAAATCCCACACAGAAAGCAAAAGTTCTTGAGTCTCTCATATTTAAAGTTTTCTTAAATCATCTATTCTGCTTAAATAACCCCGAAACACCCCGAAAGTGTTGGGTTCGGTTTTTGGGCTGAGGTTATTTACCCCAACAAAATACTTTGGCTTGCCCTATTGTGTTCACGGCCTCACGGGCATGCCAAACTCGACATATTTGAATCATAAGCAAGTCAAACTCATCCAATTTTTTTTGGATAAAATGTAAGTATATATATCCAGAAAAATAGCATAGTACAATGCATCACATGTACAATCAAATTGCATATCCTAAATCCCGGGATACCACAAAATCAAGACTCAAAATCACACAAATCATCATTTTGAACCCAAACAACATTAGGAACAAAACAATCCCACAAACCTAACTCAAACAAAATATTAGGTATCCCTAAATTAACATCCAAAGAAAAGTCGGAAAGGAGTAGTAAACTTTGAGTCAAAGCAAACCTCCCCTTTTTTCTTAGTAACTCCCGGTACTCTCCAAAGACACTTGGCGGTGAAAGTTAGGCCTTTTTTGTCCAAATCATCCGTAAGTCGGAGAGAAGAATCCCCTCTGATCACACTCGCATGCACAAATTTAAATGGTTTAACAAACAACCTAAGCTTCTTTCCATTCATCACCTCACATTTGGTTATTACATCGACTTGATGCAAGTCGGTCTCATCCGTTACTATTCTTTCATGATCTTCCAAAAAGACCTCGGCGTCTTCATCCTCGGAAGACTCATGTTCGGTATGCATACCCCTGTTTGTCGTTGCCTTTAACCACTAAGGCAGCAGCTGCCCAATTTTCACTCTTTCTTTCACAGCATTAGGCGCAAGTAGAGTGGTGGCAGCAGGTTGCAAACTGGTGGCAGCAGGTTGGGTGGTGGCTGCACATATTTCAGCCCCCTGGGCAGTAGGCCCGGTCGGGTCATTCGTACCCCCGGGCGGGTGAGGGGCACTTTGGAGCTCCTGGGCAGTGGCAGTAGCTGTCTGGGCAAGAGACCCGGTCGGATCAGGGGCTAACCCGGTCGGGTAAGACCCCTGGGCAGCAGCAGTTTGTGGCTTTGCAGCCACCTTCCCTATTTTTTCATTTTTCTCAATGCATTTTTCCTTGTCTCTTTCTCCATCGTCCCGTTTAGCAAGCTTCTTACAGAAAAATGGGTGGTGCCCAAATTCTTTGCAATGAAAGCAAAAGTTAGGAAAAGTTTCATAAAGCACACTTTGTTTGATTACCCTTCGGGAAGGTAGTCGTATAGGAAAATGAAGTGGTGGTGGCTTTGAAACATCAACCTCAATTAAAACTCTAGCATAATCATTGTTTGTCCTCTCCTGAGTAATCTTGTCTGTGGTTATTGGAACCTCGATCATAGATGCCACCTCACTCATAGCCTCATCGTTCCATAAACTCATAGGTAGTTTAGGGAACTTGACCCAAATTGGTATTTTTAGGAATTCTTCATCCTCAAAAGTGAACTCCTCCTAAAGTTCTTTTAGCATTATGAGTTTACCAAACACGTTGTAAGATCCCTCAAGTAGTACCTTGGATCTATCCTCTTCATTTTGAAATTTAAAAAATATCCAATCTTTATTATGAGACCTTACAAGGCATCTTACTCCCCATTTAGCTCTCAAATCATGGACCGCTTTGAGTCCGGGGAATCTTCCCGTGAAGTGTCCAACTAGACCGTGTCCCCACATTTCAACCATCGAGGGTAGTACTCGGTCCCCAAAGTCCAGTGTTTCACCTTTCGGTGGGACATATTTCAACTTAATTCCATTTTTTGGATCACGGTTGTCTTTAAACAAGTTCCATGGTTGTCTTTTTTCTGCAGCAGTTGGTTGAGTATCAAATACTGGCTCCAGTATTTGATTGAGCTCCAGCAGTAGTCACAACCTGCGTAACCAGTAGTGTTGCAGCAGATGTTTTAGGCTTTGGAAGTGTAGTTTCACTTGCAGCAGTTGCAGTGCAGGGATTATATCCCCAACTACTGCCAAAGACGCAGCAGTGACTTTAACAGGTGCCCCAGGTTTGGGGTTCAAAGCAGCCCCTTTTTCAGCCTCCCCTGCATTCCCAGGAGTACCCGCAGCAGCAGGCATAGCTTTGTTCGTCTTCTTTGCAGGAATACCAGCCATAAGAGCTGGGAATTCCATATCTGAGTCTTCTAGCACAGCAAAGGTAGACCTGGTAAGACTTGGCTTTGCCCCAGATGCCTGCAATTTCGCAGACATGGTAATATCTCCAGTTGCGATGAATCTCAAAACGCGGGCACAAAGGTCAGGACCAAGAGAGAGTTCCGGCCCAGAAAACAAACATACAGTACAAGCTCCAAGATAATCCAGGAAAAACAGATCAAAACAACCTAAGACCTCAATCCAGGTATTGCAGAAATTAGGTCGAAACAGAACAAAAACCTTCGCAGTTGAGGTCAGTTTGGGGTTTTAGCGAAAATCAAAGTTCCGTCCTAGAAGCAGCTGAGAATTTCGTCAAGGAACCTCAAACCTGAATCAAACGCTAAAGGTTGGCCGCAACAGCACTAAAATTTTCAGCGCAAAACTGAACAGTATTCAACGCCTCATTTTTGCGTAACTTGACCAAAATTCATCATTCTAATTCCAAATCAAAGCTACGAAGTAGCCTTAGGCTCGAAATGTGACCAAGAAACAATCATCCTTTTACTTGAAAATCCATGGACGCACTGTTAGCGGAAGAAGGAGCTGGGTCGCAGGTCGTTCCCAGGAGAGATACGCTCTCAACCTTCAGATAGATCTTTCAGGCGCTCAAGTCAAACTCACCCAAAATGCTAAAGGAATGGGGGTCTTTTAATAGGATTTTCTCGTGATGCCAATTTGAAAGTTGAAACTAGTCAGCTATATATAAAGTTTTAATTCTTGCTCTACCAAACGGGGGATAGGAATGCCACCTTAAAAATGCTACATTTTGCCCCGAAATAAAGTTCCTATTTACTTAAGGGCACTTATTTCGAAAAAATGAAATTGTGTTGTTGAGATTTATTTAGAAAAAATGAGCCACACAATGCTTTTTTACAAAACAAATAACTTTATTAATGGTAATGATTTAGTAAATTAACAATACAATCAGGGGCGTCCGCAACCACGTATGATCACACACCGAGACAGCTTGCAGAGCTAGCATATGGGCAACCCATGATCTATGCACGAATTGAACACTTGCCTTGGCAAAATTAGCCATCTCACAACCTGTTGCACATTTGATTACACAATACATGCTGCCTATCTGCAGTCCACCTCTACACCTATAGAATAGAGCTTAGGTAGTTAAGGACAAATCTTTCCCAGCTCTTTTACCCGTCATCCAGCTAAGAACTCTCTGATATTAGGGGTGGACTAGGACGGGTCGGCCCAACCTGCTACTGTGCAGGCCAGACCCGGTCCGATTGACCGTACCGGGACCAAGCCCGGGGCCCGACCCGGATGGGGAAGCCCGTGGTACCGGGCTCCGACTTTAGTGGACCCGTCTAGGCCTAAAGGTCAAGAATTCGAAAACAACATAATTTCAACTTGGGATTGTTTGACCCGGCCCAACCCAACCCAGTCCTATCCCGAAGTCCGTCCAAGGTAGCCCAGCCTAACCCGGTCCCGGAACAAACCCGGGCTGGTACCGGGCCTGATATTTTCAGACCCAGGGCCCACCCAGTCCCGGCCCAGAGCCCAGCCCGAACCGACCCAGTCCACCCCTACATGATATCATTCTTCGCAAGCAGCCACATAATGCTTGTTAAAAATGAGAAGATAATTTTGAACTTTTGAGGTGGACGGAAAATAAGTAAATAAGCAAGGTGGGGTATAGAACCTAGTTTAAGGAGAGATGGAATATCATGTAACTCACTATTTGACCAAAACCTTAACTAGTATTGCTGATTTGCTGTACACCAGAACCAAAACTCTCCTGTCCGCAGTTCTGAACTTTCATTAAGAACTAAAGTAGCAGCAAGCAAACAGAGAGAATCTTTGGATGTTTCCTTTGATAATGTTAGTATGTTACTGTCAGAAATTCAGAATGTGCCAGGTTCTTTGAATCAGGATGACTCCAGCAGACCAGCATACAACAATATTAGCTAAAAATTGAGTCTCCAATCCAAGTGTCCAACACCAAAAGGCAACAAAGTACATTCAGAATAGACCATCAACCTTCAAATGAAGGTTTTCCACATAAACTTTATTTTCTTGATTTCTTCTTAGATGACTTTGAAGACCTTGCATGCTCTACATTAACATTCTGAGAGCCTACTTTGGGATTGGCAGCAGTTTGGTTAGGTTTCAAAGTGCTACCACCCAAGGTTTCTTTGACCACTGCACCTTGTGACCCTCTTACTTGAGCTGCCCTTTTGTCCTTCCTCTTCGGCCTGTAGCTTGACCGCTCTCTCTTCGGAAGCCATCTCTCTGGATCTGGTGGTGGGCCTGGATTAGCTGGATCAAAACCTTTAGGGTATCTAGGTTTTCTTTTCCTCTTCTTCTTTGGCTTCTCCTTAGTCTTTGTCTCATATGATTCTGGAACCATGCGTGTGGGCCCGTCATCAACATTCTTAGCACCTGAAGTTTTCTCCAGAGTGTCAATATTAACCGCCTGTAAACCTGGAAGAGGCTTCAGCTTCTTTTCGTAAGCTTCTGCCTTTTCAGCATCTAATTGGGCAGTCGTTTGGATCAGCCCGACCAAAGCATCCATACCCCCATGGCGTTTGACTAAGTCCTCATACAGCCGGGCAGCCTCTTCCCTCCGCCCGTGCCGGTGTTTGAATCCAGCAGCCTCTTGTGTGATGATGTTGAGGTTATTATTGTCTTCTTCAGTCATGGAGTTTGACCACCATTCTATTGCGGCATTAAAGACTGAATCAGCCCCATCGATATCCCCTGCCCACTCTTTGAGAGAGACTAGTGTTGCAACTGTCGCGGGCTTGTGTTGGATTTCAGGTAATTTGCCAAGGGAGTCTGCTGCAACTTGAGGGTGGCCTGCAGATGCAGCGATCTGTGCTCTTGCCAGCAAGACCACCTTCGACTTCTCCGGGAATTTATCCACGAACTGCCCTAGCACTTCTTCTGCTTTAACCGCCTTATTTTCCCTAACGTGTAAAGCAGCTTGGAGAAGTGTGGGGACCACGCTGTGGGGAAATATTCCGGGAAGTGCAGCTACTAGTTCTCGAGCCTGCAGTGGTATTCAAAATTTTGAATTCAATCAACATACTTTCGTTGAATAGTTATTACTTATTAGCAGCTGAGTGTTGGGGGTGTCCGTGTGGGGAGGGGTGTACAAACAAATACTCCGTATTAGAAGAGTGTCGATTGTATCTACTTCCGCCGAGTTTAGGTCAAATTACTAAATGAACCTTGAGGTTTATGAAAGTGAAAACAAAACCCTTGACCAGTCATATTTGGGCAAGCAACTCGTTCACATTGAAAGATTACAGAAAATAGTGACATTACTGAGAATTAAACGCCTTCGGATTGTATTTGCTGTTTTTAATGTAATTTATCAGGAAAAATATTTTATACTACCTTCATCCCTCTAATCTATGTCAACATTCCTTTTTGTATTGTCTTAAAAACTTTGTCTCTTTCCACTTTACCCAAGTAATTTCTAGATCTTATTATTTCTCTGTCCTCTACACAAATCTGAACCACATACCTTTTTACTTTCTTATTCTATGTGCTGATCAAAGTTGAGAAAGTTATAAAGGACGGAGGAAATAATTGTCTCTGGAAAAAATCTTTGGGACAAATAATTGAGGACAAATGTTGAGGATAATTGAAAGTGGATTATCTGCTCATCAGCATAACAGATAGCTTTTTACATGCTTATTTTGGCTTAAATGGATTTTAACGAAGACTTTTCCTTCCAAAAAATGCAGCAGATTAAGCCAAATAACTCTTAACAAATGAATTCCTAGTTTATAAAACCAACCCAATCCCGACTAATATCATCATTCAGTATCATTTGCGAAAATCTGACCGGTTAAGGGATTATATGTAATTTCTTAAAACTCGGGTGTCCTTTGGTACTATAAAAGATGTAGATGTCATCAACCTTATAAAAGAAGATGCAAGCAATAAGATGTGACCTTGTCCATTTTATTAGAATGAAGTAGCAATAGCACCCAATTGGTATATATGGTTTCCCTCTGCTTTGGAGAGAGCTTCAATTCTAGTCCTTGGGCAAGCCGGAACCTCAATGGCCCATCATCACTTTTCTCTATAAGTAAATCAAGCTTCTTCAGACTATCTGAAACGTCTTTATGACCTCTCAAAGCAATGAGGTTATTTATTGCTACTGCAAGCGAGGACTCACTCACTGCTTCTGCGAGTGAAGCCTCATCTGCCAACCTTCTTATGATAAAATCAGTATAAGATTCTCTCGCTTCTTCTTTTCCAAGAATCTGAGTAACAAATAAACCCATCTCACTAAAAAATCACTTAATAAGAAAAGAAAAAATTGGATAGTCTTCACATATGATTTACCATTATTCTACCTGCTGAACAAATGCCAATTGAACAGATATAGGTGCTAATTCCATTTCAATCTTGTCATCGGGTACATTATCATCCATAAGCACTTCCTGGCCAATTCTGCAAAAGTTAAAATCAGCAGCTGGATGGCTTTATCTCAATGTACTTTGCCAGCAAAAAAAGGAATGTAACGCTTACAGACAGGAACGAAAAGGGAGGTAGGATTTCTCTAATGCATCCATGCAGGGTATAGACACTAAGGGTGTCTAAAAACAGATCATGGTGATTGAACCTATTTTGGTACTCCAATTTATAAAAGGTGCAAGGCGGCATGAGGCTTTTTTGTTATATTTACCCTAGGTGCAAGGCAGAGGCGCACGTCACAACGCAGAGGCGTGAGCAACGTAGCCGTGCAACTTAGCTAAACTATATTTATCCTACTTCTACATGAACCACTTTACCCAAAACTAATGATAAAATCAAAAAAAAAATTGTATGTCATCAACCAAGCTTAATAAACACCAAAATCAGTAGCAAAAGAAACAAAATAAATATGGTAAATGCAGTTTGAAATTCCAAAATAAGTCTACTATGTTTTTATTCCCGAAATAGGACTAACATGTCAGTATTTACTATCATCTTGTAGGCGTGACTGTCAAATAGTTGCAGTACAATTCATTTTATATGGCAGTATTTATTATAATGGCTAAAGGGTCAAATAGGTACATGAACTAACTTAAAGTGTTCAATTAACCCCTTATTTAGGAGGTTCTGTCTGGCCGTCGCCAATTGGGGCGGTTCCCGATGGAACTTTTTGATGAAATTTTTTGAGCATCTTTTTCATTAAGTCTAGTTTACCCATATCGAATTTCAGCTAAAAATTAAATCGGGAAGGCGGTCAAATGATTTTCCGAAATGTACTGCAATGTTTAATTGCGCAGTTATCTTCAAAAAATCATTTGCCTGCCTTCCCGGTTGAATTTTTAGCTGAAATTTGGTATGGGTAAACTAGACTTAATGAAGAAGATGCTCAAAAAATTTCATCAAAAAATTCCACCGGGAACCGCCCCAATTGGCGATGGCCGAGCAGAAACTCCTATATAAAGGGCTAATTGAACACTTTAAGTTAGTTCATGTACCTATTTGACCCTTTAGCCTATTAAAATTAATGGCAGTAATTTTGAATCGTGTCAGTATTTTTCATACATGGAAGTAATAACTCCAATTTCGGGAAGAAAAACAAAGTAGTCCTATTTAGGAATTTCAAACCTCATTTACTCCTATTTAGGGTAATTTCCCAATAAATATTCAAACAATAGCACAAGACGTGTTAAACACCAAAGTCAAAACTTATATGCAGAAGTTAAACAACATAATAACTTTATGATCATTGATAGTAAACAACAATTATAATCATCATCAAAACAACATAAAGACTTCATAATGATTAGTATGTACGGGAAAATATGCAGAAGTATACAAAAAATCCAATACAGTATACAATAAATCCAACATATATATTTGCCGGACGTATACATTAAGTCTAGACTGCATGGGTGTACTCACAGCACAGTAAAACTCATCTTCTAGCAAACAAAATCTTTTGGTTTACATATTTAAACCTCTGCTTTTCAGAAGATTGGAAGGCATACTATTATCGCCTACCCTAATACAATCATACTCATGTGTACACATGTACACCCATTTAATAACTCAATGCCATACTATTATAGCATATATGCATGCAGTAATACACCCATGTAATATGCAGAAAGTATACGCCCATGAAAATTTAAAACATCACTAAGATGAGCATGGCATAGAGCATGCAAAGGAGAAAAGCAGAAGAGTACAACTGCAACAACCTCTGAAAATCTCCATGACTCCATCCAAATTGACCCTAATAGAAAGAGTCAAAGACTGTGTACAATTCCAAGAATGTTTCCAAATTCAAAGGAACAAATTACTATACCAAGAAAATGAGAAATTATATAAAACCGTGTTCACCTTGGAATGAATTCATACTGAAAGCTATAATGAAAGTTCTCAAGCCTGTCCACGCTTAGATTTTTGCATTATCATTGTATAGGAACATTATGCAGAGTATCAAAAAATACATCAGTGTGTTCTAGAGTTCAGATCGACAAAGAAACAATGCTAGATACTGTAATACAAAGTTTGCTTTGGTCATGGTAGTTCCAGAGATTTTGAGCATATTTGGGATAACGTATTGTATAACTGATTTCATCAGAAGTGGTTTCTTATATAAGCACTAAGAGCGTGTTTCTAAAAAAGTACCAAACTGGTGCTCTCTTGAAAAGGAATTCAAATTGTTTTTATTGTAAAAAGCAATATCTTCATTTCCTGTAAAGCACATCTTTTTAAGTAAAAGTACTCTTCTTCCATTAATAAACACTTAACATATTAAAATAATTCATCCCAAGCGATCTCTTACTCGCATATGTGCTTACACGTGAAAAAAGAACAACTTTACCTCCGCGCTGAAAGTAGCAATTGTTCAGCATTGTTGTACTTCTGATTCTGAATTAATGAGCACGCAGTGTTGAATGCCAACTCAAAACTGCTAGTCGGTTTAGCTCTGATAGAGTCCAAATAACCCTGCACTTCAGGTGCTCTTCCTGCAGAAACAAAGCATGCAACCATATTCGTCTCCAGTGAGTCTATCTTGGACTTCTGGAGTTTGCGATAAATATCAACACATTCATCTGCTTTTCCAAGTCGATATAAAATTTGAGATTCCAATAGCATTTTTGCAGAGTTTTCCTCATTCCCTTTCAGAGTCTCCAAAGCTTCGCTAAACTTGTTTTGTTGATATAAGCAATATGCCTAAAAAGAAATGGTGTCACAGGTAAATGGTATGCTTTCAATAATTAGCTGTTTAGAAGAGAAAACTGGTATTTCAAGACAATTGATAGTTAAACTCCATCCACCTCTTAAAATTGATTTTGTTATTAAGGATACGAGTTCCTGATACAACACTGCTGTTTTTGTTAAAACAGTTTCTCCAAAAGTATGCAAATTTGCTAGGCTATCTTGGTTCACAGACGATCTGATAATCAAGATAATGCGGTCTCACACTGTTACATTCGTTGCAATTCAGAATGCTGATGAAAACTTAATGACCAGATTTAAAAAGCACACTATAATATGGAAAAGTTTCATGTGTACAGAGTAACCATTAATTGAATACCATGTCGTGAAATGATATGGACTGACTTTTAAATCGTCTTAAATGCTTCAACTAAAAATTAAGAATGAGTAATTACCTTGAAGAAGGTGAAATCAATAGAAGCCCTCTTGGAGTTATCGTATATACTCTCAAGAGCTTCATCTACCTTATTATCTTTGATTAATGCCACTACTTTACACTGAACTGCATCCTCATCCCCAGGCGCAGCAACGAGGACTTCAATACGGGCGACATTGAAAAAATTAAAAATTAATAACTTAATTGAATGCCGAAATCATTTATCACGAACATGTGCAGATATCAGATCCGCAAGCAGATGCATTTTTAAAAGAATAAAAAAACGCATGTTTGTGCGAGTTCAGTGAAATCGAACTGACTTTGATCCGCAACTTTGACGGCTTGCCGGTATTCTGATCCTTTGATGTGCCGATTGAGTGAAGTGAACAGATCCTCCACAGAGGCGGCGGGCGCAGACGGCGGCGGCTTCGGTTTCAGTTTTGGAGCCATACGAAAACGAGAACCCCAGATTGCTGGAATACTGAAAGAAGTGACGCTTGTATTAAAGAAGACACAGTCGGTATTTAGGTTTAGTGATTACCTTAGACTAAAAGGAAACGTGAGTTTTTGTCAGTCCTCGACTTTATGTCTACCTTTGGCTCGTGTAGTTGGCACCCTTCTAAAAGTGATTCTAGGCGTCAGACTAGTCCTCTTAGGCTAGATGGTGGTCGGGCACTTCGTTTTTGTCTAAGCATTCCAATTAATTGGTTTGGAACCTAGATGAATTAGTCGGCCGCTTAGGGCGCTTAGTTGTCCGCTCAAAGCGCCTAATCTCCGTCTAGGGCATCTAGATTCGTCAAACATTTTTTTATTTTTTATTTTCTTTTTTTAATCACAAATATGAAGAAAGATACGTGAAACCATATATGATTGTACATATACTTAAATTTTATTATTATTTAATATTTATAAGTAGTTGCAGCATCTATCAAGAGAAACACTCGTTGTTGCAGGACCGAGCATACTCGAGCCTTGGAGCAGGCTAAGAATTACTCCCAAGGTCACCAAGTTGGAGGAAGATATAGCCATGGTCAAAGCCAAACTCCAAGAGATAATGATTGATCACCCAACTGTTGATAAAGCTAGAGAGAACGTCATGGCTGGTTTCGAGGCTTCGTGCTCCAAAGATCCACCTGCTCTCGAGGCTTTAGCTTGGCTTCCTGGGGTGATGGACCAACATATAGAGAGCTAGTTAGGGATTGAGATATTTGCCGGTGATAAATTGCTTCAAGCCTTTGTGCTTGGGAAATATAAGATCCCCAGTAACTTATCTACCATAAGCTGAAGGAGGCTGATCCCAACTTCAGTTATAAGGAATTGAGTTTGCCTCGCCCCACGCAAAATCATGAGCAAGTTCATGGCCAAGCTACTAAATATTCTGCTATGACCCGAAAAAGGAGGAGGAGGAGGAGAAGAGGGAGAAGAAGGAGTAGGAGTAGGAGGGAGATTCCCTCCCCTTTTCCTTTTCTGTATTTAACTTATGAGCCCTGTAACAAACACTTGCATTGTTTTTGAAATGCATGAGTCGTTGATATTTGCATATGTTTTCTCTTGTTTGCCTGGGCTCTTGTAATCATGTTTAAACCACAGATGTGTCTGTTTGCTTGAGGATGAACCGAAGTCTCGTTTGTCCTCCGTTTTGCAACTTAGCATTGAATTTGCAAAGTATTTAGTTCATGCTGAGTTGTGGTTGTGAAAATAACCTTGGATGGGCTTTGATTATGAGCTTGGCGCCATAATTTGGCCTAGCTGTTGTTTTGTAGGTACTTTATAGCGTGCAATCTACTAATTAAGTACATGTGATGTGTTGAGGTTGGGCTTCAATTGAATGAGTGACCTTATTTGTTTGTACCTTTTAGCATAAAATCTGCTCAATACAACTCTCCTCGTTAGGCTAGATTGAGAAGAAACCTTGCTTGTTTGTAGTTGATTAACGAGGGTAAGTCATTAATAGTCTTGAGCTTGTTGATTTATGGTTGTCTAGCTTTGAATTTGCTAGGTAAAGCTTTATTGACGAGGCGTGGGATGGAAAGAGGACTTGGTCGTATTTTTGTATGAGGGAAACCAATATTATGTTGTGCCCCTTCACTTTGTTGGAGCTGAGCTTGTCGTTTGAGAATATTGTCTGCCAACGATAGTTGATTTCATAAGGCTTAATATAAAGCTTTGGGATTTTTTGTTTTTGAACTCTGGGAAAATTTGAAAATTTCTTAGTATAAAGTATTTTCCAAACTTGGGGTGAACCCGATCTCGTGTGGTTTGAAACCCTGCAAGTTTTGATAATGTTTTTGAAAATCAAGGGTTAACCTTAGTATCAGTGTGTGCTAAAATTATTTTGATTTTTTGCAAGTATATAAAATACTTACAATCATGCGGTCAATTAGGAGACTTCAGCCTCAGAGTATAATGTTTTTGAGTTTTCTAAATACACACCATGAAAGTGGTAGTTAGAATAGAAGTTTGATTTTGTAAATTTCGCTAAAGTATAAGCCAAGAAAGCTCTACTCGAGGTCCTGTGTGAACATTGAGCTTCAACCTCTCCGTTTTTCGACTTTAGCGCATTTGAATGATTTTTTAAAAATATCCTAATAGCTATTATAATAGAATGTGGAAAGAGGGTTCTGTAGTTGTTTCTCTTAGCCTGGGAAAGCGGCTAAGTCCTAGCATCTAGGTATGACCTCGATCTCCTGGATAAAACCGGTATGGCTTTTGGTGATATCAATTGTCCAGTCCTAATATTGAGCTTTGGGCTTTCTAGTAAGTATCAGTGATTTAGAGAGTTACCCCTTCTTGTTTGGTCGGATTCGAACGAGAGCTCAACTTTTTGTGGGATTCGTGTGAGAGCCCAGCTTATTGATGAAAAGTATGGGGTACTCTTCAAGGTCCGAACTGGGAAGAAGTCCGGTCTGTGTGGTCGAAACCAATAATTTAGGAAGTGTCTCTCTACCACCCACGTGGTAAGTACCTCTTGCTGAAAAGCATACACTAGTACAAAAACAGTTTTTTACATCACTCATTCTACATGGGTTATTTCGAATCCCATGTAAAAAAGCGGTGCGGGGTGTTTTTTATAATTTATGAACAATTTTCCAAATCGGTTATAAAGATGACCAAAGTCATATAATATTTCGGGGTACTTTGTGTAAATGTTCAAATTCTTTTGAAATCGGTTAAATATTTAACCGATGTGAATCAGAAAACGGGGTAATTATTATAATTAATGAAAGTTATGTTCCATGTTTGGTCGGTTAGAACTTACAACCTGTATTGTTTTTACTCGACATATAAACATATCTTTCCTTTGTGCGGCAAGCAAATTGAGAAGCTACAAACCTCGCGGTGAATCTGAGGCGGAGATACACGACGTCCCCAGCCTCCGTTGACACTCGCGATTTAGAATCACTTGAGACCAAAGGACGTCCACTGCCGCCCCACGACTTCTACCGTCGAATTCCAGCCACTGACCAAGGGATGTCCATGACCACCACTACGAGTTCCACCGGCGAATTCTAGCTACTCCAAGAGGCGTTCACAGTCACCACCTCGTCTTCCAAAAACAACTTCTTCCAGATCTGGTATTAAACTAGTTTAGGTATTCTTAATTTCATTGTTTATTTTATTAATAAAACCTTAATACCTTTATATTTATAGGTGTTAATATGTTATTGAGCTTTGATTTTACTAATCTATTATTTGATCATTATTATATATTTTTGTTTGATTAGCCTTATACTCGGTAGATTTTGCTTCCTTGTGTTTTACGAATGTAAAGTGTAGCAGGTAAGATGTTTGATGAAATGTTTGAGAGAATATAAATTTAATTTTTTCCATAAATACAAATGAAACTGTTCGTACCTAGATAGGAACCTTCTAAAAGTTGCCAAACTTACGATTCACACTTTAAAATGTAGCATAGAGTTTTAGATCATTACACTTGGAGAGAATCAAAATTATTCTTAAAGTAGTTTTAAACATTTGCTAGGTTCGACTGATTCACTGTTTCTGTCATGATGATATTAAACTTTTACACTATCATAATCATTATTTTTTTATTTTTAATATCTACACTATGAGTGAAAGCTTTAGTTAAAATTTACACATAGCATCCATATATTCACAGAAAAGGTTACTGAAGCATGAATTGCTCTTCGTTTTATGATACTACCTGTTTTATTCCCTTTGATTGGTAATTTTGAGTGGGGTGGGGTGAAAGGTGGGAAAGAGTACCTCAAAGAAGAAAATGAATCTGGTGTCTCATATTCACAAAGGTTAGTTGTTACTACTCTTATATGATTTTTCAATATGAGATGAATCTGCTTATTAAACATCTTTAGTGATGTGTTTAGGTCTAGGAAGAAAGTGTTCACAAGTGGTGGCAGCAAGCCTTGGAAAACTATCAAGTCAGGGATGAATTTCCATAGATCCGCCAGCACGCACAGTCTTTGAATATAATTTTGTTCTAGGAAATTCAGCTGTTATTTTCTTTTTTCAGAAATGCATAGTAGCGCCATTGCACATAAATGAAATTGACATTAACTTGTTCTATACAAACTTATTGGCATTGTCAGGTCATAGGTGATGCCTGGTTGCAGTGACATTAAAAACTACAGTATTACTATTGTCGAGACATTACAAATTAGAGTATTACTGGACATGAGGTTCTGTAGCTTTTATTCCCTTTATGTCACGTTTTTGTTATGAAACAGAATTTTATGTTCTCCTATTTGTGGACAAGTGAAGTGTTAAATAAGTTTTGTCATTTCCTTCTAGAAACTTTTTACTTCTATGTATTATTTTTTTATGCTCTACTCACCTTTCTAGTTTCCACTCTAATTACGTGAGTACTTTTTATGCCCTTGTGCAGGAACTTGCGCAAAGAAAAATTTTGTTCACAAGGAAGAAGTTGCAAAACTCTTGGATGACATTTATATTAATGGGTGACAAATATGAGTTAACTTGTATTTACTTGCAACATGCTAGCACAGATTGGAATCTATTTGATATTGAAGTACTGAGTACTTGTTTATGAAGGCAACCTGTGTACTTGTTATAACGTTTAGTGGGAACAAATGTCTTTACTAGAGCATTTAGTTGATGTTAGAAAGTTAATTGATTACTTGTGTATGTATTTCTTCTGCCATTACATGGCATTTATGTGATATCTATTATATATAGGAATGGTTCGCCAAATATTATCCAACTACAAGACAGTTTAAATTTGTACGGAAAAAACCAGTACAATAAAACTTCATATGATGTACTCCATATATGATTATAAAAGTAATAGGCGCTAGATTTTTATTATTATTAAAAAATTGGAATTTTACATCGGTTATTTGTAAAACTGATGTGGAATCTCTTCCACATCGGTCACACCCCATGTAGTATATGATATGCAGCGATAGAATTCAAGCACTTTTCATAGCCATTATTAAAAGTCTGATGTAGATTATTTCACATCGGTCTAAGCCGATGTTATATGTGCTATGGAGCGGCTATGTTAATACTTTTCAAAATCGGGTACTGCACGACCGATGTAGA